AAACGTGTTCCAACAACATCTTCTAATGACGCTGAATGTTCAAAAGCAATGCGCGCGGAGAATTTAGCAATCACCGATCCAGAAGATGATGCCACGAGTGCCACGACGTCAAGCTCGACGGTTTCAAAGACGAAAAAAAGGAAGTATGATGAATCTTATATCAGTTTCGGATTTGTTGATTCCAACGGCTCACCTCTCTGCATGCTCTGTAGTAAACTGCTTCCTAATAGTTCCATGGCACCTGCCAAATTGCGTCGACATTTAGAAACCGTACACCCCGAGACTAAAGACAAGAATAAAGAATTTTTTGTTCGCAAAAAAGATCAGTTATTAGAAAGTCAAAAAAATATGATGCATGTAACACAAACTACCAACGAAAAGGCCACGGAGGCATCATACTTAGTTAGCTATCGCATTGCACAAGCAGGTGAAGCGCACACTATCGCTGAGAAATTAATAAAACCATGTGTATTAGACATAACAAAATGTATGCTTGATGAAAAATCTGCAAAGCATCTTTCTACTGTTCCGCTATCAAACGATACTGTTTCACGACGAATCCATGATCTGGCAAGCTACGTCAAACAAGAACTAGTTACACGTCTACAAAATACACGATTCGCTTTGCAAATGGACGAGTCGACTGATGTCGCTGGTTTGGCTATCCTGCTGGTTATTGTGAGATATCCATATAAAAGTTCTTTTGAAGAAGACATGCTTATGTGTTCATCGCTGCTTACAAACACTACCGGGGAAGAAATTTTTAATAAAATAAATATATTTTTTGAAGAACATAATCTCAGTTGGAACAATTGCATTGACATTTGTACAGATGGGGCCAAGGCGATGACAGGTAAAACAGCAGGAGCAGTGTCACGAATGAAAAATAAAGCGCCTAATTGTAGTTCCAGTCATTGTATTCTGCATAGACAAGCACTTGCGATGAAGCAAATGCCGTCTAATCTAAAATTAGTTATGGATGAAGCGGTAAAAATAATTAATTTTATCAAATCACGACCACTACAATCCCGATTGTTCTCATTATTGTGTGAAGATTATGGCAGCAAACATAAAACACTGCTGCTCCATACAGAAGTGCGATGGCTGTCTCGGGGAAAAACTTTAACAAGGCTATTTGAACTTAGAGCCGAGTTACAAATGTTTCTTTCAGCAGATACTTCTTTTAATTTGAAGGACCGTTTGTATGATAAAACTTGGTTGTTCCGATTGTCTTTTATGGCGGATATCTTTCAAAAACTTAACGAATTAAATTTATCATTGCAAGGTAAACAGACAACAGTGTTTCAGGCCTATAATAAAATAACTACTTTTAAAAGAAAATTAGATTTTTGGATCATTTGCATTGGTAAGAAAGAAATAGAAAGTTTTACGTTACTCACTGAGTTTGTTAGCGAAAACGACTCAGAAATGTTTGAAGATAATGTGTTTGAAGAATTGGTCCAATATCTCAGTTCGATGCGCGCATCTTTTGAAAAGTATTTTCCCGAAGAACACAATACAAAAATTAAAGTGAACTCCTGGATTCATAATCCTTTTTTACCCAACTTGGAAAAGCCTGAAAACATGTCAAATGAGATATATGAATCTCTTTTAGAAATGTCATCAGACACAAGTATGGAGTCATTGTTCAAAACGACGCCTCTTAATGATTTTTGGTGCAGAATCCAAGATGAATATGCAATGCTTGGCCAAATGGCTCTGGATATTCTTCTCCCGTTCCCAACTACATATTTGTGCGAAACAGGATTCTCTACCTACGCAGCCACGAAAACAAAATATCGCAATAGACTGGACGCCGAAGCTGATATGAGACTCCAACTTTCTTCCATCAAACCTGATATCAAGCAATTGATGAAAAATAAAAAACAGTTTCATACCTCCCACTAGTTAGATTTTTTCTTTTTTAATGTTTTCTATTATTGTCCTTACCAAGTGGTGAAGTAAATAATAATTAGTAACGGATACATTGTACTTTTATTATGCTGATTAATATAGAATACACTTATAAAAATAATTGTTTTATTGTAGGGTTCCATCAAGTATTTTGCTTCCCAAAAGGGTTCCGTCATTTAAAAAGTTTGAGAACCACTGCTCTATATACCTGAATCTAATCCATAATTTCGGTACGTGGCTTGATTTCCCTAGTTTACTATATAACTTATTTGTTTTTTATTATTTTAATATGTTCAGTGTATATGGTTTATAGAAGTTCTCAGGGGTGTCCGTCAATAATATTCGTTTCTACAGTAATTTATATATATAATTTTGAATCTAGGAAACAATTTTTCATGATTATTGGTCTTTAGGCCAAACATGTATGGAAGCTGAGCAATCTCCTTTGGTATATCCTTATGTGACGCCCATATTTTATCCTGACTTCGAATAAAAAGTTAAAGTAAGCTTCATGCAATTATGCCTTTTACTACAGCATTTTTTGACCCTAAATTTAATAAAATCTCCGGAAATAAATCAAACAGAGTCCACGTAGTTTTTACTCATTTTGGAAGACATTTTACCGCTCAAGAGTCACAAAATACGTCGTTTCTCTTCAATAAATATTTTTTTATGTAACTGAGAAATAATATAATGATAGAGTCCATAATGAATAAAAGTATATCATACTAAATATTATAATTCTTTTTCTGACACTGAATGTGCTGCTGGTAGTGAAGTAAACAAAAATAACTTGGAAATTTTGTATATCGTCATGAGGCGTCCATATTTTATCCTGAACTCAAATAGGAAGTTAAAATTAAGCTTCATATGTTTAATTAAGTCTTTAACTACAGGTTAAACCATTGTTAAGACTCAAAATTTTAAAAAAATCTCCGCAAATAAAGCAAACAGGGTCCACGTAGTTTTCACTCATTTTGGAAGGCATTTACCGCTCTAGGCATTTACAAAAAACGTGGTTTCTCTAAAAGGTGTGTACATGCACTGAGTGATTGCTCTACTGCTTCCTATTCCATACCCAATATCCTTCTGCACTCCTTTCTCTTGCTTATTAAAAGCGGTAGATCCTCAGCCTTTTACAAAAGTCATACATATTTATTTATCATTACTTACTTGTACTTTATACAATGTACAAAAGCAAAGTTTTTAAAATAAAAATGAGGTTTCTTGTTATTTTTCGATATAAACAATTAGACAATAGTCTTAATGACTATTGACAGATAGATAACAGACTCAAATTTTTTTTTTCTTTTTGTTGACTTGTGTTATCTGTCAAATTTAACTTTTAATTCAAAAATTTTGTGAATTAGAGTAGCCTTAGAGAATTTAAGTGTCAAACTATTTTCGGACGAACGAATTTTCGAAATGAAATAGAAACAGAGTAAGGAACGTGCGAAATTTCGATCGAAATTTCGTTTTTCGTTGAAATAGAGTAGGCCTCCTGATTCGATCATGTAGATTGACAAACATCGAGCATAGCTCTCCCCATCGTTCGCTGTCCAATTCACTTACTCGTATATCTCACGCATGCCAAGGGGAGCATGATCCGTATGCCAAGGGGTTGAAATTATGAAAAAGACGCCTTACCCGTTGATTGAGTTTTGCTACCTGAACAAAATTACTGGTATTTCATATTTGGATTTCACATGCAATCCAGCACGAATAGCTAGCGTGCATGGATTATATTACTTTATTTAGGAGCTATTTACAAAGCAATCTAACGTCATTATGATTTTATTGTTTGAGTTTTTTAAATGACTGTTAATTAATGGTTTTAAGTTGTAAGTAGTGTTGAAACTTACAAATCACTAATTTTTAGGTTTCAATACTGAATCACTTAAAACTTTCAATACTGGCTTTCCTTTTCAACTTCTATTGTCGGCTGCTTTTGACTTTATTCACATTTTTTATGAAACTAACCCATTTCTGATATTATTTTCGCAAACATGCTTGGAAATGTGAGCATTATTTTGACCACCTTCTTCGAGATAAATCGAATTGTGTACTGGCCACGTACACGCGAGTAGCGGTCGCAAAAGTTGTATCAATATCGATATTTTCGTGGTTTCGCGACCAAATAAATTATACATACATAGTTAACTCATATCTGTCGTGTAATTTGAAAATGGAACGATCTCTTGCTCCTATACATGGCAACCAAGGATAACAAAGGTTTTATTTTAATTAAGAACCTGGCTTGCAAATAGAAAACAGTTTATGGAAAAAAACAATGAACACTTTAACGCGAGAAAAAATATATTTTTTACGCGGGAAAAAATATATTTTTTATGAGGAAAAAATTATATTTTTTCGTGAGGAAAAATCAATGACGAACATCAATAATTATTGCTGTTCGTCATTGATTTAGCCGAATTTATTTTAATTTCCACGCATTGTTTGAGAAAAGTACTAAGTATACTTTTATAGCCTTGGCCACAACTTGGCATTGTGGACTTAGGTTTGTGTGCCTCTATTCGACGGCCCTAAGGTGGTCTGGGCGCGGCCTGACCAGCCGCGCGTCCTAGGTGCCGCTCCGGCATAGGCCACCACGTCTGGGGACTGCCTAGTATCCTTTTTTTTTTTTTTTGTGACGAGGGGAAATGCAGTTACGCACCATACCGTGACGCTGACTAGGCGTACGGCGTGTGTGGGAGTCGCCGGCACGGGAAACAGTGCCGACCCTACTCAAGCAGGACCAGTGCGGAAGGCCACACTGATCCTACTCCACTAAAACCCCCCGGTACCCTCCTACGCCCATATGGGGGCGTCTCAGGATCGACGCACCTTAGCGTGCGCCACTTCACTGGGACGTCCCCGGGCAACTGCCTAGTACCCTAGCGCAGTCCCCCTGAGGCGCGTCGCCCGGTCCACTCGTTGGGCCGGGCCTGCCCGGGGGCGTCCCAGTGAAGTGGCGCACGCTAAGGTGCGTCGATCCTGAGACGCCCCCATATGGGCGTAGGAGGGTACCGGGGGGTTTAAAAAATAAGGTTTGTGTGCCTCAGCCGTTATTACATTCGTCCGTCAATGTTTCTTTTGCTGGCTGCTGCAGTACTTTTTTAAAAGTATATTTCGTATACCTAGTTAAGGAATACTTCAATGAAAACACTGATATTTAAATTCCTATTTATTGATTCAATTTGAACTTCGAACTCACAATAAAATGCAGCACGGTAAACACAAAAAAACATGAAATCATTTATTTAATGATGTATGTTCTTATCAAAATACGTGTAATTGTGAATGGGGAAGGGTACATAAACCAGGTTATACTACAACATCGATTATTTGACAAACGACGAATGTCTATTTAATACAATTTATTTTTCGAAATGGAAACATTTCAGAGACAGCTGATTTTGAGCAAACAGTTTTGTTAAAAAAATAAGTGTTCGGCTTGTTTTGTCAACAATTAGTTAGTAAAAATACACAGCGGTTACGATTGCAGGATAAGACTTATTTTATAAACAGTGAGTACCTTACGTAAATGCCATACAAGCCACGGGCGGGCGCCGTATTGTGGCTGCTTCGGTTACAACGACACCTCTTATCCAAAAAGTGAACTACTTGCATACTTTTGACGGTATTTCATTGTAATGTTTTAGCACGTACTTTTAGCCATTGTATTGAGTATGGTATTGAGAGTTAAGTTAATAATAAACTGTAGATGTGATCGAAGCAACCGCAAGAAGAGCCGTGGCGCGTGTGATATGACTTCATTTGTAGCAACGCCACAACGCCCGTAAACAAATTGAAATAGTGTATATAAATTAGCTTATGTAACAAATAAGCTTAAATGTATATAATACTGAGGCAGAATTACATCTTAACTACGACGTAACATTAAGTGTGGTACGTGGGATTAGACACGAGCGCAAGCCCTTAATTTATACGGACGAATGCGATATATAATTATATTTTGCTTTATATCTATGTATCTGACGCTAAAACATCTATATAATGTATTACTTTTTGTACATCTACTTATATATTAACCGTACATACACTCACTAAGCTTATTTGCTCGGTGACCACGTACCCAACGTGTGCACACAACCTTTACTCCATATAACCCTCGAAAATGTACAAAGACGTTTACGTTTCGTTATGAGCCTCCAGCAATACGCATCTTTGTTCATTATTTAGATGTTAAATTCCATTTTCTAAGGAGCCGTATGCAAACTCCGTCGTTGACCGTTTCTCCATACAATCGCGTTGACTAGATGAATGAATTCTTTATGATTATTGCATAAGTACCAAGAATCATAAGGCTTAATTAGGAAAGCACACTTTGGGCACGTGTCGCTCTTACATCGGAAACTCCAGTATTGTCCCGCGGGCGAACGGAAGGAAGAGATTCTAGTGAGTGATAAAGACTTTTCCATCGAAAAGATGTCTCCACAAAAATGTATACACAAAGTAACAGATATAGATCCAGTGACTAGAAGAGACTAGTTAGAGAATTCGCCCGCGTCGGCTAAGCCGCCCGTCCCTTGCTAAGTACACATTAATTATTAAAATATATTTTCGCATTTATTACATAAAATTCACGTTATGATCTACCTACGTTAGAAAAGTAAATGAAAGCGGGCTTCAAGTAATAAGTAATTTAGGTTCGAATTTGTACGCGGAGCCTATGTACACAGCGTACCATGGACGTTTGTTCCACGCGCCCGTCATGGTGACGTACGACCTCAAACTGGAAACTAACCTATCGACAGAATCATCTAGAAATGAGATTACATAAAAAATAAAGTCACCAAAACGACTCCAATATCGCTTAAGAACCAAACAGAAGTCGCATGTCACCACACGTGCCGCGGTTTCGAAAACTTAATTTTTAAAAACTACAAATGTGACACTTATGATTTCTAGGACACTAGACAAAAAACTTAGATCTAACCTTAAGAAACAATAAATAATTATTTTGGTGCAAAACAAAACACAATAATTTAATAGAAAATATCAAAACATATCACTGCTAATCTTAAATAATAATTATTATACTGACTTGATGTGTACATATATTTCATTACCTTTATGTTCACTAATCACACAAGCTTTATTTAAAATGAACTTTACAGTAAACAGAGGAGTATTTAATCACCCGCCGAACCCCATAAAATATCGTTAAACACTCAGACACACATCGATTCCATAAATAATTGAGGAGGGGGAAGGGCTTAAACACCCATTGCTAGGGGAAAACTAACACACATCGACAATTTAAACAATTTGAAACGTCAGTGCCGTGATTGCAAATTTTTGAAATACAAAATCCTCTTTCATACGTCACGGCATCAAATAGAAAAGTGTCACATCTAGAGATTTTTATCATAGCTCGCTTGGTGTAGGGCGAGGGAGGGGCTCAAGGCGGGTTGGCTGTTAAGGGGGATGGAGTGGTAGCTTACTCCTTGACTTCGAAATACTTGTAAGTGGGGTTCTCGTAGCCGTTGATCTGCATATTGGCTACGTGTCGTTCTTCAGGGGTGGGGGCTACTGCGCCAGTTTGCTCAACCTGAAAACAAATAACTAGGTGAGGAATGCTACAATCCATTTTTGCATGATCCTGGTCTAACACGCCGCATCTGAATTCCAGGTTAACATTATTATTATCCTGTCCAGTTATGGTGATGTAATTTGCCATCACTTTTGTATAAATCTACCTAAGGTCAATTTTATAGTTACCAAGGCTCACACTAAGGCGACGGCTTCATATGTACGAGCGGTTTGCAGCCAATAGCATCTCAACAGCAGCTGTCTCGCCATCTGTCGGTGCCAGCCATCGACTTCTGCCATCAACGTTTGCCCACGCACAGTACACCCAGTCGCCTCACACGCTGGGGGGACAGTTACCTGTATGAAGTCCTGCGCCTACGGGGCGCAGTCGCGGCGGCGCGCCATTGCGAGCGCTGTGCCGCCCGCGCACATCGCGGGGAAGAGCACACCCAGTCGCCTCACACGCTGGTAGGACAGTTACCTGTACGAAGTCATGAGCTTGCGGGGCGCGGTCACGGCGGCGTGCCACTGCGAGCGCCACGCAGGCCGCGGCCTCGAGCGCTGCGCCACCCACGTAAAGCGCGCCCAGTCGCCTCACACGCTGGGGGGACAGTTACCTGTGTGAAGTCCTGTGCCTACGGAGCGCAGTCGCGGCGGCGCACCATTGCGAGCGCTGTGCCGCCCACGCACATCGCGGGGTACAGCACACCCAGTCGCCTCACACGCTGGCAGGACAGTTACATGTACGAAACCCTGAGTATACGGGTCGCGGTCGCGGCGGCGCGCCACTGCGAGTGCCACGCAGGGCGCGGCCTCGAGCGCTGCGCCACCCACGTAAAGCGTGCCCAGTCACCTCACATGCTGCTAGGACAGTTACCTGTACGAAGCCTTGAGCCTGCGGGGCGCGGTCGCGGCGGCGCGCCACTGCGAGCGCCACGCAGGCCGCGGCCGCGAGCGCTGCGCCACCCACGCATAGCGCGGGGTACAACGCACCCGCGCCGCTAGCCCCGCCTGGAGAGTTGCCACCCGTGCCGCGCACCGTATAGCCCTGCCGTGTACGAAACCAAACATTAACATCAACAGCCTATTAATGTGTCCGCTACTGGGGAGGCCTCTGTGCATTATTGTGACAACAGCATATCCTTATCATGCTTTAGAAGGTATGAAGAGAGACTTATCACAAATTTATTTTAGGCAAATACCAATTGTCAGAATCTTTTTAATAATCTTATGAATAAAATAGGAAGAATGGTCCCTAACCCACCAAGCTGTCTCAGTGCTAGTTGATAGATGCTAGCGGCTGAAGATACAGTCGAAACAAATGTTTGAAGTGTGTTCTGAAGTACGGAATTAGCGATCCTGGGATCTTCTAGCAAGTAGGTAAGTGAGTGAGATACTTACAGGCTGAGAATGTTGCAGTTCGTGTTTGAGAGCATGCGCTGGCGGTGGCGGCGCGCGCTCTTCGGCTTGTTCTAACGCGGCACGCAACCCTGACCCTTCCGTCTGTAAGAAACGTCATCATATATAAAATCATCATCATACCTTAAGGATACTCCTTGCATGCGATATAGGCATCAATGGTCAAGTTGGGGGTTTTCAATGGCGAATTAAAATAATTTTAATTCGCCATTGAAAACAAGAAAAAAGAATAATCATATGTCCTACGGCTTAGGGACAGAGCTTCCCGTTGGACGGAATAGGGAGAAAGAAATAGGGCACAGGAGCATAAGCAGAGGCTTAAAGCGGAAAATACAGCAAGTATTTAACTTTAACGTGCCTGACAAACTGCTTAATTTTTACTGCATGTGCAGCAACGCAACGGTACAATTAACACCCACCAATCATCACTGGGCCTAATTGGAGCATATCGTATCCTTTGACTTTATTGCACAGAGAAAGCTTATGTACTATAATAGGGATAATAATAACAATTTCAAACATTCTCTTTTCTGCTGTAAATCATTATGTATGCAATTAACAAGTTACAATATAAGGGTTCAGGATCTGTTTAATATATGTGTGTCGGCCATATGGGTATTCTTTACACTTTGTTTGTTTAAAAATATATACAAATAGATACCTAATGAAATATTGATCTATTTGATTTCAATAATGTAATGAAAATATTCGTATTGATTCAATAAAATTTTAAAATACAATTAAGGCTTTGAATTTTAGACTAGTACAAACTGATTTTAACCATTGCATTGTCGTCACAGTAAATAAATAAATCTATACATATAATAAAATGGTAGGAAAGTCAAAACTGTACATTGAATATTTTTTTAAAAGAATATTTGTGGTGTGATCTACAATCGATACCGAAGCCAAAAATAAAGTTTTTAGAATTTTTGTCGTTTGTCTGTATGTATGTCCGGGATAAACTCAAAAAGTACTGGATGAATTTACTTCAAATTTGGCGCGAATATTATTAAGAAGTCGGGTGCATGTACATATGGACTGCATATTATCACGCTATCACCTACGGGGAAGGAGCAGTGAAGCTTTATTTCTAACTAACTCCACGGGTACTTTAATAAATCCTACCCTCATCGGGCTCAAGGCAAACTATATCCTGAATTACTCTTACTGAAGAACCTACTTAAAAGGAATATGAATGTCTCAAACTCCCTAAATTTAATTCTGGATCTTCTACTTCTAGGTAGGTATTGTATCCTCTTCTGATACCAGTTAAAAAGGTTTACCGTGACAATGTAATAGTGATAGATACCTCGCTCGTAGAACGACGGCTGGAAGTCTCGCTGGGCTCATTGGTCTCAGGAGTCTCGCTCTCAGGGGCTTCGGTCACAGTGCTGGTGATCACCTCCTGAGGATAATAAATCAGCCTTTATGTATCTATATTTTAAATGCTCTTCCAAGCGTTCAAGGAACATAGTGCGAGTAAAGAGGCGCAGTAGTAGTAATAAGCTTTATGTACAGTCGAGGTACGTTATCACTTTCACAAAGCTTTATAATTGATTTGCTACTTAATGACTGGTTATATCGAATTTAGCCGTGCTCCTGCTGTAAGCAATATGTAGCTAGCACCTATGAATAGAGTCGTATAGTATCAAAAGCGGCAAAGTAGGGCGAACCAAATATTTGTCAAATCAAAAAAACTGTTTAGTCTCGTCTTTAAGGGAGGACAAAATATTGACATTTCACTAGATTTGTAGTTATGATGAATGTCAATTATAAAAATCCTCCCTTAAAGACGAGACTAAACAGTTTTTTTTGATTTGCCAAATATTTGGTTCGCCCTACTTTGCCGCCTTTGATACTATACGACTCAATATGTAACGGTTTTAAAAGATGTAGGTTGTTTAGAATAATTACACCAAATTCAGCGCCCGTCTGCGGAAGTCACCCCTACCTTACAAAGACTACATCAAAATAAATAACACTATCTTTTGGTGATATTGTGTTACTGTTGTTGAGGTAAAAAAGGTGTAATGGCTCTATGGAGGTAAGGATTCTATTCACCGCAGCAACTGTAGGATGTTTGGAGGGGCACCATTTTCTGCTGCTTCAGATATCTTCACGACTGGTCTCTATAATTTGCTGTGTCTTAATCTTTATCTTAAATAAAATATTCACCCTCGGACCACAACCTGATGCAGTAGTAAACAGTGTAATTGCAGGCGCGGTAATCTCGCAAGTAAACTTTAAAAACTTGCGGCCAGGTAACTACTAAAAAACAGTTCACGTGTGAACTCGCCATTGGGTGAGAATCTTATATAACGAGTTGCCACATAAGTTCGTATTCCTAATTAAACCGAAGGCCTAACCTCAGCAATGACTACCTGGTGGTAGTGAACTTATAGTAATGGAGGTGTCTTGCGTGTTAGCGGTCCCGGTGGTGTGGTCCTTGGGAATTTTCTGCTGCTTCAGGTATCTTCACGACTGGTCTCCGTAATTTGCTGATCTTAATTGAAATAAAGTACTATCCTTCCGACCACTACCTGATGCAGTGGTTAACATTCTGATCTGTATTTTCCTGACTAAACGGAAGGCCGAACCTCAGCAATGACTGGCCGGTGGTAGTGGACTCACAGTAGAAGTTGTGTCTTGGGTGTAGGTAGTACGAGTGGTGGGTCCATGGGCTTCAACGAGGTCAGCGGGGGGCGACGTGGGCGAGGGAAAGTCTGTATTCCTAACAAAACAGAAAGCCTAACCTCAGTAATGATTGGCCGGTGGTAGTGGCCTCACAGTAGTAGTTGTGTCTTGCATGTAGGCAGCGCGGCTGCCCCCCCACCCGGGCTTTGGCTCGGTGGGTTTGACGAGGCCGGCGGGGGCTACGTGGGCACGGTCGTAGGAAAGTCTGTATTCCTAATTAAACGGAAGGCCTAATCTCAGCGATTACAGGCTGGTGATAATAGACTCACAGTAGTAGTGGTGTCTTGCGTATAGGCGGCGCGGGTGGTGGGGTCCTTGGGCTCGGTGGGTTCGACGAGGTCGGCGGGGGGCGACGCGGGGGCGGACGGCACGGGCGCGGGGGGCGCGGTGCGAGCGGTGGGGGTGGGATCTTCCGTCTCGCTGTCCACTTCACGGGTTTCGTCGTCGGCTTCCTCAATTTCGTGCACGCCGTTCGAAGTCTAAAAAGGAGCAACGAGAATGAGTAAATGAACAAAAAGCATCTGTCCCCTAAATGTATGCTCTATATCTGAAAACCACCATTGCGTGTGGTGGGTGGTGGTAAAATTATGTTCCTCTCACTTATACAGACAGTTCAGCATACTGGATCTCTTCCGCACTGTCGTGACCTCGTTAGTATAAAATGCTTATTCTTTTTAACAAAACAGAACAGATATTAAGTATCTAGTAAGCAACTGAATGTACCTAACAAATATGTATGAACTACGGTCTAAAGAATATCGAAAGAATTTTGTGTGGCCAACTTAACTGATCAGACGCTACAACTGATAAATGACAAGTCGCTATATCTAATATCAGAAACTAATTTAGAGTCGCTAAACCGGTTAAAAAGTAATTATAAATTATAAACTATGTTCCGAATGGCCCTAGGTTAATAAGGCGACTTCAAATATTTCAGAACCAAAATTTAAATTGAGCTTCTGTTATTATTAAGCACTAGCGCCTGCGACTCCGACGGCGTTAAAGTTAGTTTTTTAAGCACAACATTTTCCGAAATTGCGCTTGGGCATCATCTGCTGCCCTACTAAGGTGGTTAAACAGTTGAGTTGTCTCAGCGTCGCCGGTGTGGGATCTGTAGAGGCACACGTAGACTCTGGCGAAAGGACCAGAGTCTACATGTACCGTCAGTCTTCCAGGCAGCTCAAACGGCGACAACAAACATTTCAACAAACAACAACAAACAAACAATTGAATCACCTTAGCCCTCTCGTTCTGTATGTCTTGCCTCTGGCGCGTGCGCTGGTCTCGTTTAGCATTGAGCTGGTCCCTGGCCGCTTGTTCCCGTCGCACTTCAGCCTCGATCCTGTCCAGCAGCAACTCCTCGGCTTCAGGTGTCATCGACATCAGGGACACGGCCATGTCGTCCTTAGATTGCATCGACTGAAACATTAAAGATGACGTAAAATAACGAATATTGCCTAAGCTCACTGACACTGATAGTTTTTCGCAGCTCACTGACCAAACTAAGGATTAAAACAAAGGCGTGAGTAATATGTAGTGACGTGTTTCTACAATGAGCAAGGTATTAATAGGTTTCGTCTTCCATACATTCCGATTGGCAGTCATATTCTCGACAGTCACCAACCATCTTTTTTTGTGAACAAATGTAATAAAAGACTTATAATTAGGCAGGCTGGGTGAATATTAAGAAACTTGACAGTCAAGAATATTAATTGATAGTATGATATTGATATAATAATATATATATATATATATATATTAATATATTCACGGGATATATTGACGGTAATTGATAGATAACGAAGAATAGAAAGGTGATCACCTGAACATAATCTTCGATAGCAGTTCCGATGCTGGAGTAAAGGTGAGGGCGGCGGCGGAGGGCGGTCAAAGCGCGCTGGAGAGCTCGGTCGGCGTCCTGAAATTAATTCAACAGCCCACAATTAGTAAGAAACAAATCATTTAACATTTAAGGTCACAGAACAGGTCAACACAACAGGTCTTAAACATATTTTATCCCAGCAGTCTCATAAATATTTATAAAAGTATTTAGACAAGTTAAAAAAAGTTCAATGTATAAAAATCCCCTGCATCTTACGGCTGCCAATTAATTATACGCGACTATGGCTCGCTAGCTGCGGCCTCCTTCCCCATATGAATCTCCGCATGCCAGCGCGTTTACCGGGCTTTTTAAGCACTTTTTCACTCAATGTGCCTGTATAACACTGTACCTGCAATCTATCCACAGCGCACATCGCTGACTCACGTAGCAGCGGCGGCTTGCCTCCCGGTAGTAGCGACTAATGCCAGTGCATTCACCAAGCCCTGATATCGTACCTGCAATCTGTCTGCAGCGCTGGCTCACTCAGTAGTTGCGGCTTCCTACTCGGGAACAGTTGTGAATGCCAGCACAGCGCCATCAGGGGCCTCTTTCTAGTTATTAGCGACGAACGACAGCGCGCTCACCAAGCGCTGTAAGCACTATTTCATTGTATTTAATTTCGTACCTGCAATCTGTCCGCAGCGCTGGCTCGCTCAGCAGCGGCAGCCTCCCTCCCAGCGGCAGCGGCGCGGCGCCATGCGGCTAACGCGCCACTTCGCTCTGCAGCCAACGCGCGCACAAGGCGCTGTAAGCACTTCTGGACTCGATGTGCCTGGGGAATTGAAACAAAGATGTGATATACATGGCTATTAAGAGCGGCCATACATGGCCTGCTCGAGCTGAGTAGCCAGTGATTCACATACACGGTCTGCTCGAGCAGTCAGAGTCATTAGCTTGAAGCTAATGGTAACTGCTCGAGCGGTTCCTGTATGTGCGTACGTAGAAGTATGTAGTTCACTATATGCAGGCTCAGTTTAAAGTACTCCATCCCGACTGCTTCAAGCTGCCAATGTATGGCGGCTTTAAGAAATGATAGGCTATGGAAAGGCAAGGCCTGATATTGTCGTTGAATGAACGAAAACCTTCAGTGCATTTACCAACCAATGTATGCTTGCTAAGGCTTGGTTTCGATTCCATGAATAATATAACATCAACAATAACGTTAGGCTAAATGTTCCGCAAGGAGCGTGTGTAGCACGACAGCGCGGCGCGGTGTCGCTGGGCGAGGTGGGCCAATACTCGCTGCTAGTGCGGCGCGGTTATATAACATCAACACTTACGTTGGGCGGAGTGTCCCGCAAAGAGCGCGTGAAGCAGGACAGCGCGGTCCGGCATCGCTGAACGAGGTGGGCCAACACTCGCTGCTAGTACGGCGCGGTAAATATAACATCAACACTCACGTTGGGTGGAGTGTCCCTCAAGGAGCGCGTGTAGCAGGACAGCGCGGTGCGGCGCCGCTGGGCAAGGTGAGCCAACACTCGCTGCTGGTGCAGTGCAGCCAGCCGACGCCGCTCAGCAACGCCCTCCTCTTCCAGAGACTGTAAGAAACGAGAAATACATTTGTTTAATACTTGACAAGCTGTCAGATGAAGTAACAGAGTTTGGTGAAATTAAGTCTAATTATAATAAAATAAAATTAGGGTGAACAATAATGGGCAGTGCATCTACCCGGATAGCGGAGAGTGCGGGTTCGAGTCCTGTCTGCTACCTGGTACGCGGGGATTTTATTCTAGTAAAATTTTCTTTCGATCATATAATAATTATGAATTTGTCTGAGGAGCACGATGGCGCAAATAGTTAGCACATTAATAATAACCCTATGTCCGTTCCTGGGATTCGAAATACTTCTTTTTTGGTATAAATTCTTTACACCAAATTTTATGTCAATTGGTTTTAGCCCTTTAAGCACGAAGAGGTAACACACAGGACACCGACACTGTCGCATTTATATTGGTATGGAATAACAATAAAGAAAGCAGCATAACTAGTTTAATTACGATTAGTTGTACTGACAAGCCTGCAAACTTATCATCATCAGCAGCAGCCTATTATAATGTCCCCACTGCTGGGGCACAGGCCTTCCCTATGGATGAAATAGGGAGATAAGCCATGACCTACCACACGGACTCAGTGCGGATTGGTGGTTGCTAAAGTTTGCAGATACAGTCGGGACCAACGGCTTAACATTCCTCCCAAAGCATGAAGGAGCTCGAGATAGTAAATTTTGGGATAGTCATCCAATGACTGACCACTGCGATCGCTGAAGTTAAACAACTTTCGCAGTAGTCAGTCCTATCAATGCATTACTCAAATCTTTATTCACCTGTACGTTTGCCTGGAATTTAGCAGTCATTCGTTGACGGAAGGTCTGAGCGGCGGTTGGGTCGCTGCTCATCATCTGTTGGTAGCGATCTTCCAGTTCTGACCATTCCTTCATCACCTTAGTGATCTGCAACAATTTTATAGTTTTATTTTAAAAACTACAATCCAGGTTTCTTCAAAGTATTGTTATTTTGTAATTACAAACACAACTTTTTTTGTACCCTTTCTGCTTTTTGCTATTTAATGTGAGAACAGAGTATATCATTAAGAGCTTACAAAAAATGTGACATATCTTAGCCCCTAATCTCACAGCAATTTCTGTTTTTTTAATTATTATTGATTATCGTATTCTCTTAAAAATTTACTGAAGCTATATTTATTTTCAATCAAAAGGTCTTTCGGGCATGTGGATGTATTTAAGAAATAAATTACTAAATTACCTTTTCGCGATGGGTCTCTTCTAGTCTTTGCTGGGCATCCTTATAGCTTTGGTGCTCGGTGCGAGGGTCGAAGTGAGAGAAGTAGGGATCGGATGTTGCAGTAGAAGCCTATAAATAAAAAAATTTTAACATTTTATTACTGATATTACCTACATATTTTACAATAAGACTTGTATACATCTTTTTTATTGGTTTGTTATCCATAGAAACCGTAGACATTAACTAAAAGTGTCCTTTACCTAAAGGACTACAATCTATAAATCTAGTAGACCCTTATCTATATATTCAACAATACGGATACTCACTGTAGTTGTGGTGGTAGTAGTAGTCGAGGTGGTCGGAGGTGAGGGGGCAGCAGAAGACTCCGGACGCGGCCACGCGTTATCATCACTATCAGTATAGTCATCATCTTCGGCGTCATCGTCACGAGATAACTCTGCGTCCTCGTCTTCATCCATTTCTGTAATTACACATTTATTTATTTATTCAGTGTTATAAATCTAATTTAATTATAAATTGAATAATTAATTATGAAAGTGGGAAGGACCGTTAATAATCTGTTCAATGCCTTAGAGCCAAGAGATTAGAAGAATGTAAATAAGGACAAAAAAGTAATCTCTTTACTTCGCAAAATAGATAGAAGCAATTAAAGAAAATGTTGTATAAGACTGGGAAAGTGAAACTTGAGATTAAAAGATTTTGATTAAAATAAGGAAGTCTGCAGCTAGAAAGCGGCTTCTATAGATCAAGATCCGCTGTTATTCTGTTGAGTTATATGCATATTATATATAGATATCATTGAATTTGTAATCTTCACAGTCAGATTCCACTAAAACTGTTTCTAATAAATTTTCAATTTTTGAAACTCACCATCATCCGTGTCGTCATCATCGTCATCGTCACTCAAGTTCAGGGTGTCGTCATCATCGTCATCATCCAAGGCATCATCATCATCGAAGAGGTCGTCGTCTCGTTCGTCCATGGCAGCGGAAGCAGCAAGCATCTCCTCACCTCCAGGACTAACCGGTACTCCGACATCCATAGGCTTATGCAATTTTACATTTTCTGGAAAGAAGCATAAATTATTTTATTTAAACAGTCACGATATTTCCATCTTAGTAACACAGTAATTAACACAATAAAGTATTATTGCAGGGTGTAGATAGACCTACACTCCTAGTGTCGGATATGTCGTTGGAAACGGGAGAAGAATATTCAGAGTCATTTTGGCAAGCTTTGAATTCACTACGAATTCTGCACCAAAAATCGTTGAGAGGCGTCATTTGAACAGTGACTCCACACTTGTGTGATGGCATTTCTAAAAGAGATCCATATATTTCATTTGATATATATTCGGGCTTTTTTAAGTTGGATAAAAAATGATTATGAATTCGTAAATTCAGTTTCATTTTTGTATTCTGCTCTTCGGGAAATATTTCTCAAAAAATGCGCGCATCAAAGTGAGATATTCGATAAATTCTTCAAATACATAATCTTAAGTCGTTATCACTAACAAACACACTGAGTCGCGTAAGCTTTCTATTTCTCTCTTTCCAATGTATGTAATCCAAAAATCTATTTTTTTTTTGAAGGCAGTTATTTTGTTACATTCCTGGACCACTATTGTCTGTTAACCTTGCAATGATAAATTTAACTCATTCGTTTTTGAAAGATATCCGCCATAAAAGGTAGTCGGGACAACCAAGTTTTATCATACAAACGGTCTTTCAAATTACAGGAAGTATCTGAAAGAAACATTTGTAACTCGGTTCTAAGTTTAAATAAATAAATAGCCTTGTTAGTTTTACCCCGAGACAGCCACCGTACTTCAGTATGGAGCAGCAGTGTTTTATGTTTGCTGCCATAATCTTCATACAATAATGAGAACAATCGGGATTGTAGTGGTCGTGCTTTGATAAAATTAATTATTTTTACCGCTTCATCCATAATTAATTTTAGATTTGAAGGCATTTGCTTCATCGCAAGTGCCCGGTTATACAGGATACAATGGCTGTGACTACAATTAGGAGCTTTATTTTTTATTCTTGACACTGCTCCTGCTGTATTACCCGTCATCGTCTTGGCCCCATCTATAGAAATGTCAATGCAATCGTTCCAACTGAGATTATTTTCCTCAAAAAATATATTTATTTTATTAAAAAATTCTTCTCCGATAGTGTTTGTGGGCAGCAGTGAATACATAAGCATGTCTTCTTCAAAAGAACTTTCATATGAATATATAACCATAACCAGCAAGATAGTCACACCAGCGACATCAGTCGACTCATCTATTTAAAAACGAATCGTGTTTTTTGTAGACGTGTTACTAGTTTTTGATTGACGTAGCTTACCAGATCATGAATTCGCCGTGAAACAGTATCGTTTGATAGCGGCACAGTAGAAAGATGCTTAGCAGATTTTCCATCGAGCACACATTTTTTATGTCTAACACACATGATTTTATTAAATTGTCATCGATAGTGTGCGCTTCACCTGCTTGTGCAATGCGATAGCTAACTAAATATGATGCTTCAGTGGCTTTTTCATTGATAGCTTGGGTTACATGTATAATAGTTTTTTGACTTTTCAATAAATGTTATTTTTACGTACACAAAATTCTTTATTTTTGTTTTTAGACTCGGTGAGTACAGTTTTTAAATGTCGGTGCAACTTTGCAGGTGCCATGGAACTCGGCCTCCTTCTGTGAAGCGGTGATGTTCCAGAAGGAGGCCGCCGAGCGGGATCGGGAGATGGCCGATCCCGCTCGAAGAAGGCGGCGTCGGGCCAGATAATGGCCTGATGTGCCACCGCGGGTCGCTGGTGAGCACGACGGAGCTTGTGCTCATGGAAGCGACCTGGGAGGGACGACACCCCCGCATGGCCGGGGGGTGTCGTCGTAGGAGGGTGGATGGGGAAGGTTCCGAACACTCCCCCGAGAAGGGCTCCCCTGGAGGAAGCAGGGGAACAAAGGCTGCGGGTCCTCAGATGCGATACTCGATCCTGAGGCCCCGTACAATGCCTGATGGCGGCCATCGCTGGGGTTTTAGTGGGTAGGCCTCCCCCTTCTGGGGAGGAGAGCCCCACATAACCACCATGTGGTATGCAATTTTTAGGTGCCATGGAACTATTAGGAAGCAGTTTACTACATAACATGCATAGGTGAGCCGTTAGAATCAACAAATCCGAAACTGATATATGATTCAGCATACTTCCTTTTTTTCGCCTTTAAAACCGTGTAACTTGACGTATCATCGTCTGGATCGGTAATTGTTGTATACTCCGCGCGTACTGCTTTTGAAGATTCGGCTGCATCTTCTATGTTATTGAAATACGTTTAACGCCTTTAAGCCAACGTTGTATTCTTCTTTATTAATAATGTTACACGTCAGGATGGTGGGGTCAAAATAATGCACGATCGTTACTGCGTAGAAGAGTATAGTCCAAAGAACAAATGAACAAAACTGGTACAATCAGAATACAACAGTATTCTACTGCAGTAATCATCATTTTGTTTCTAGCGCAGGTAGGTACTTATCGCTTCGAACGCTAATCGTCGACTGACTGAGTTAAGTGTAGAGGCGCGATCGTCGCTTTTATAGTGCTAGCCTCGATCTCGAACATTCTCAAAAGTACTCGATTCGGCATCTTTGATAAATAAAAAGAGAAATACGAAAAATTCAGTATAAACAATCTCGATTTTACGTTTTGAAGTTAGAGCCGAAAGTCGCATGTTCACAATTATAGCGTCTAATCTCAGAAGGGGTTTTTATCAAAGATACTGTGCGCTCACATGAAGATATCGGTGGTGGCGGCATAGTAAAATTGTACGCGGCGACTAAGTTCGGCTCGCCTCGTGAACGGTCAGAACGGTCGACCAGAGAGAGTTGATTTTTTTTCTAAATTCATGCGGAAGCCCTACAACTTACGTAGAACCCTAGGGTTCCGCGGAATACCATTAGAGTATGGCTGAAATAGAGAATAGACTCAGAGCAAGCAGCCGGTTAATTGATATCCCTAGAAACCTACTAAGGTTCGACCTCGGTATTAATACTTTCTTAGGCGTGTAGCTATGTATTTTAGTTTTCATCCTGTTTGGTATACAATAAATAATGAGTGACTTTCCTCCTGATGTGGAATGGTTGCTGGAATACTTGAATTTATGATTTCGTCACAGTATAAGTATTAAGTTAAGTGCCATTGAACAAAATATGTATCGTTATAAACATAACAATGAATCTTTAACTTAACGAAATAACTTGAAAATTACTTTGCCGATAACGTCCATCCTTTTTTTAAGTATTGCAATACTAAGTAAAAGCTTTCTAGGAAAAGAAAAAGAAAGTTGCGTGAAACTTAAGTTAGCAGGGACGAAGTCGCGGGTTGAACCTAGTAATGAACAAATTCTATTTCACACAGGCTTATACGATTTAATTTTGATGCAAACCTTACTTAGAAACAAATGTCCTTCGGGTGGAAGGGGAAAAAATATGGACGGATAATTTGAATAAAGATATTTTGAATTCTAAATGATTTTTGAAAAATGTATACTAATTTCTTACCCTTAAAATGCTTTGGACAGCACACGAACTCGACACCGGAGAACAGACTGATACCACAAGGCAGCAGCATGGCGAAAGTCCTCAGCCGGAGGCCACGTTGTGCGCACGCGCGGCCTGCGGTAGCGTTCCACCGGGCGAACTGCCAGCACCGGCTCTGGTTGTGGATGTGGTCGAACAAGCAGCTCTCGGGCACCAACAGCGCGTCCGATTGGAATGGACCTTCTGCCGGCAAATTGTCTATGTAGTTTATGGGGCGACTGTCCTTTATTTCATGATTAATACCGAAATTATGGAAGAAGTAAATTAAGAAAATCTCTTGTTTATTAAATGATAATATTTGCGTAACTGATAGTTCATTATGAAATGTAAAAGCATAATCCAAAACTAAGGAGTAAAAAAACGATAGCCTTGTAATTATGTCAAGTATAAAAATGGACACAGTACAATAACCTACCATCGGATAGGTTCAGTACTTAGAAACACTTTTAATACTTCAACTATCGTAGTAAAAATGATCAGGCAGTGTAGACAAGTAGCAAATCTTTCTGTTCGCATACTTTAAACTATATAAAATAACCTTCAAGTCAAGTTATTTTGTCAACTTTTATTTATTTATTGCTAATTTTATAGTTATAAATTGCTAGAGTGCTGTTAAAAACTAATATTATGATTGCTACCTGACTACGGTTACTCATATTTTTTTGATAAAATAAACGAACTTCTAAAATAAGTACATACCAAGACATCGGAATGGCTTGACCCATCTCGTGACCTTGCACTTAGAAGCACTTCCAGTGCCCAGTTTGCACCAATTGCTGACTTTCACGTAGTGAGATGCCTCTACAATGTTAGTGATGTCGTGGCTAGGATAAACCTGGTGAAACAAAATAGGATAAGAGCTAAAATTTCTAAAACAAAAGCATTTTTTGAACAAGCTCAAGTCTCAATAAACATCTTATTAAAAGATTTCATTATTATGTCCACCAGCAATATTCATTACAGAAATTGTTGATGTAGTCACCAGCTGTCGCTGATATAACATTATATTACAAACGACGTCATCATGACGACAAATTTGATGAATATACAAATATATTACAGAAACTGTAGAGAAAGAATTAACTAATTTATCTTAAAAATCAGTAATTTCATATCTAAGAAAGTTTAAAATATCTTTTTGTGTTTATATTGAAATTTCTTGCCTCGAAGAGAAGATTGAAAGATAACGTGGCCCTGGAAATTTTTCTCATAATAACCTAGAGCAAGGTCGCCGCAGAGAAATTTTCCTATAACAATTTTCTTTAATGAATGATTCATGATTTTCCATGAAAATATCACTTTATGGTAAAAATCTCATATAGCTACTTGAATGGGTTTATTGCTGAACCGTTATACATCTACCGTCCAACAATGGTTATAAAGTTAATTTAACAATCAGTATCTAATTCCCACTCGTCTAAATATTTGTTAGTTATAGATAGCCTTGTTACAACCACACGTCAAGAATAATTTTCATGTTACCGAAGATTTTTGCGAAAAACCATAACATGTCCACAAAAAGCTTTCGACGGTTCAGCCAAAAATTTGTCGAGGATACGATGACAACGGAATGACCGGCCTATCCAGTCGTCTCGGCCCAATCGCAATCAACACGATCAAGGCTGATTGGCAGCGTTCTACGGGAGCTGAACACAATATCCGGGACGTCTGTTTGTGACTAGTAACGAAAACCGCACTCGACCCCTTGATTATATATGATTGAACCCCTTCATACTCGAGTTTGTATAATACTATACGAATTGCGATTTTCATCGGCAACATCTGAACGGTTGAGTAGATGTTTGTTGACCTGTATTGACCCAGTAAGATTTGATAGAGGTACAAGCACCAGTATATCATAATATTCGGAACTGCAAAATTTATCCGATTGTGAACTTTATATTTCTGGATTTATGATTCACATTCGATCTGGAAATTTTGGTATGTTATAGTATCTTGATATGTTGATTGTACAGTTTGTGTTGAACCGTCATGGAAATAATTCGAAGCTGAAACCATTCGTAACCACGATATTTGGAATCGCTTAGTTGTTACTAATGATGGAAGCCGCAGCCAAATCAAACCTTCGCTAGATGAACTATCCATGTCGTAAATCAGGCATGGCAAGTATTTGGAACTTTATATTTAGATGGAGACTCTTTTGCAGACTCGTATTAAAAAAATATAACATAAAAGAAGGATAGTAATACTTCGAGAGTGACTTCATTGGGATAGTGAGACTAGAGAGATCTATACTTGTATTGACTTGCGCAGACTTTTTTGTCCGCTGAATTAGATCGCTTACAATTGCATGTAGTAACGCATACGAGACGATATTTTGGCGTACATACGTGTATAGGGACTGACGATTGCTACAAACAATAATTGTGTATTATTTGCATCTGTAATCTTTTGTTAATCCATCTCCATACCTTCTTGCAGTAGTCCAAGATCTCCATCTTATCCTTGAGACAGTTCCGGGGCTTGGTGGTGAGGTCTGGCGTCCATCGACCCGCCGCTGACATGTACTGCGGGTGGTAGGTACCGCCAGCCTCGCAGAGCACCGCCACTTGAGGCTCCGCGCCGGTAGTCGCCTGAAACAATTAAGCAAGCATCTTTCATTATATGATAGAAAATAATCATAGAAAGTTTGAATTTATGTGACATATAAAGAACGATATTAAATTACAGTACATTATGAACGTGGGTGGGTTTCACCTAGTGACGGGTCTACCGACACTGCGTTTCCTGTTGCGGAAAGCGCAGGACCATTGTGTGTAGAAATAAATAAAATAAAAATAAAATAAAATTCATTTATTTCGAGCATCAAAACTCATAATCAATTACTGTAGTAATAGGTGCATGTCACTAAAAATACTAATCATTTATTTAGTTTAAAAATAGTAAAGGTATAATAATTTAAGTTAAGATCAACAGAATTATTATGTCATAAAGAAAAATATGTTAATAAATTCCATTAATTTCCATCAAATAAAAGTAATTAAAATTCAAAAGTCAAGTCAAAAGTATTATAATGTCAAAAGTAGTATAATAATTTTTAAAAAAACTGAAAGAAATTACCAAAAAGTCCTGACGTGTATACGTATTTTTTAATAATAAAACAATTACAATTTCCGAAGAAGTTGTAGAAAAAAACAATATTAATCTAAATGGGCTGGAAGGCATAAAAGACTAAGAATGAAACTGATACAATGTTCAATGGTTCATCTTCAGTGGTGTTAATAATAGTACATTTTGAAGTACGTTTTCACAAGAAATCTTTATTTTAGTTTCTCGGCACGTTAAACTCGGCACAACGAGAAAAAGAATTCATCGACAAGTTTCCCCGCTGACGGTATTACAAATAGCGAATGAATGGTTTACTTTCTATTGAGTTTATTTCTATTGAGGTAACTGAAGAAGAGCGAACCCGCATGCGGACTTTAATGCGAAGTTCAATACAACTGTGCGATTCTCGATTCAAACTCGGCGAAGTTGAAATTAGGTCTAAAAGTGCAACCGTGCAAAGTATATTTGATCCGTCCTAGATTTCGCAGCCTCATTTACTTAGTGCCTCGGTAGTTTAACGTCTGTTGACTTAATGAACTCTCCAGGAACACTGTGAGTGTAAAAATCTTTGAAATGCCTCGCATCTGTTGGAGCTTTCGTAAGTCTGGTTTTAAGCCAAGCGATCTAAAGTTTAAGTTACACTGACCTTGAAATTAAAGTCTTTTCCGAGTATAAATTCAGTATTAGTTTGAGACTTTGAAATTTTTTAAAGTTAGCTTATTTATTACAGGTACAGATAGCATAAATACAGATTACTATTTCTTGTCACTTCATGTCAAGTTTCCAAAGCTATTTTAACTCACAAAATAAAATTTATGTGTTTAAACAAGGTATAGCAATAAAGATTAGAGTATCGACTACTGCAGACACTTTGGTACAATCAAATAATTGGAACCAACGTAAACAAAGAGCGAATCTCAAATTCTTTGTTCTGTACACAGAATTTCGATTCAGACAAACTCAAGTCCATGACACTAATCTTTGTTCCCCCTAAGAAAAACAGGTGAGGCAGGCATCGTGAGCAGGCTTTTTGGCGTCTAGACGGGCTCAGGGGGCGGTCATAACGTAGTAGTTTTACGCCAAGAAACCGCCGAGGTCATTGCCCGAATTGCTACAGTACACATAATAACCCCTTGGGGAATTTTCCTTCATATAATTGAATATGCTTGAGTAATTGCATCGGTTTAAGTGTTCTAGAAGAACTTTTAAGTGATGTCTGCTACGAAAGTTTGACACTCGAGCGCGTTAGTAATTCAATCTGTGTCAAATTAAAAACTCTTTAACCTTTTGTTGTTTCCTGTTGTTTCGATGCCATATATGAGCGGTATAGTTACAGTTTGTAGGGACAAAATATTTTTCAAATCAAGCCATATAATTTTGTTTCTTCTTTCTACTACATACACCTCATCAACGGCAGCACAAAGCTGCAACTTTGCCTTCTAAAGATTTCTAATATATTCCCATTTTCCAGGTTCCAAACATAGGTACCCATGTCCAAAAGAATGACAAAGGAGCTCTTAACTCTTGACTCCGCTGCTTATCCCAATTTGTTTTGTAATGCCGCTATTTATTTGTTTTAGTTATATGTCGAAATATCTTTTTTTGTCGAATAATGAAAATAAATTGAAAATACCAAGTAAAGGATCTCCGCACGTATAACATATATTTTAGGCGTTCATGGTAATCCCAGCGGATTTATTGCACTTAGCTTGTTTTTTAGTAACTCACCTTTTTACTTACACTGAAAAACTTTTTATTTTCCATGTAATTTGAAAATGGAGCGCGATTGATGTGATCGATGTAAACATAGGGAGCAACGCCCTGCATGATGGATAGCCTAACCCCTAGACAAGTGGCTGCTCCACAAACATGTATATTGTATAGTATATTGAAGACCTCGTTTGTGGACACAGTTGACAATATCCTTAATACATATCAATAAAAGCTATAACCGTCGTGAGGCGATAAACGTGGTACTCGTATATCCGTTATCGACAATTTTGCCATATTACTTATGTCAACTGGAGAGTGTAAAAATAACGGAAATAAGCGTATCCTTATGTATTAATGTAAATCTAAATTTGTTTTGAATTTATATGTAAATTGGGCAAAACTTCGAGTAAACTGTAATTAAGTTTTCCCAATGATCTGAGGGGAAACGACTAAATTTACTGTTTTGAATATTTCATCCGTGAAAATATCTAATATCAAGCAAGCCGTCATTCATTGTCTAAATTATAAGTAGGTACGTAATTTTAAAGTGAGTAAGTAACATTATCTATCGTGCGAGTAACGAAATGCACTTGCGTGTAACCATTGTGTAACGTTTCGATAGTTGGTACTAGATGACGTACCCGCTACTCTGTACCGAATACATACGGTTTGCTACAGCTCTAATGTTAACCCATATTAAATTTATTGATAACTAATTTCCACTCGCAACTACTTCACCGTCAACTTTTTTCGCTATCAGGGCGAATGTACTGATCATTATGTTTCCGCGGCCCTGATGGCCGTGATTTTCTCTAGCCTTTCTTAAGCTGTAAGGCAGCGACATCTCTTCGCATTGTAGGTAAGCCACAATGTCAAATGAATACCTTTACAAGTATTAAACATTTGAAAGAAGAAATAGCTATTGTAGTTATATTTTTTATTTTTTAAGCATTTAACTGTGAGATATTTAAATTTAAAGAAAATTTAAATAGAAAAAAGTCCACGCAGCCCAGGTAGCAGACGGGATTTGAACCCGCACCCTTTGCTATCCGGGAGAATGCACTAACCATTATGGTAAAAAAAAAAACAATATACATTAAGTTAAAAAAAACTTTAGATTTAAACATCAACCAGTTAAATGCTTAAAAAATAAAACTATAATTGCTATTTCTTCTCTCTTCTTCTCTATGTACTGTATTAGAGAACTTAAAAAATAGATGGATGAAATTGGCATAGTCGTTCTCAAGTTATGGATTAACCAAGGAAAATATTATTTTAATATAAATATATTTCTTATCGTTAATATCAAGCGTTTAGCTTCTTCTGCTCGACGTGCTCTTCGTTAACTTAATACAATAAAACGGTAATATTAAGGTTTTCCCCTAACAATTGCGTCCATAACACAGGCAAGCTGTTTAATCATTGCCGCTGCGAGGTGGTGTTGCCCGTAAAACACGAATCCGCAGCTGGGTTGCCATAACAAATCGCGGGCCGTCCCGCACCGAAATAGTTGTTAAGCCATTAGTTTAACGGTAGTTAGGGCACGTCCCAAATTGTACAAGTTGGCTCGTTAGTCTGACTGACAGCACGAAGGAGTTCAGAATCATGACATCTAAGCACTCATACCGACATACATTTAAACTTATAATTAACGGAATCAGTGGCTATGGCTACCTTGAGTTATACTATTACTTATGCGTCCTTGTTTACGAGAGAATGTAAATTAATTATCTTTCTCTTTATTTATGAGCATGCAACCTCCGTGGCAGCACGTAGCAGCGCACGCATCACTCATGTATATATAGTAGTTAGTGAAATTAATATTAAGAACGTACTAAAAGGATATTATTGCTCACATTTATTAAAACAAGAATAACATATTTAATATAGTAAAATTTAATGTTTTTCAACATCATAATATAGTAACAGTATTTAGTAAAAGTCTGATGGGGAACCCGCCCGTGTGAACAAACTCATTGCTCTGTTAGGGGCGACCGCCGACAACTCGTAGAAAGAGGGTAGATGCAGATGCGAAACAAAGATCTACAACATGACGACTCCCAGTGCTCGGTAAAACCTACAAAGGTTTTTGTAACACTGGCTAAATGTATCGTTATTATTTATAGTAATGTGAAATTCAATAAATATATATATATATACAGCGTGTTACAAAAATACAAATAAAGCTTGAAGGGTGTTGAAGCACATCATATAAGGATAATTTTCTTAAAATATTTGCATGAAGTTTTAACTTTTTATAAAAACAGTTATTTTTAATGATCCTCGAACTAGTGACGTGTCTTTAAATGATCGATATTTTTATTAATCATTAAAAATAACTGTTTTTATTAAAAGTAAAAACTTCATGCAATTATTTTAAGAAAATTAGAGAAGACTCCTTATTTGATGTACTTCAACGCCCTTCAAGATTTATTTGTATTTTTGTAAAACCCTGTATATAGTCGTGTGCGAGACGGTCGTGACGCTCGTAGCGTTTCAGCCTTTTCAAGCAGAGCTTCGTTCACATCCCACACACACACACGAACACACACACACACATATAGGTTTTTCCATTTACACTGGTCCAAAAAAGAGTTTGACTTCAAAAAACTTCAGTAAAGAATTTAGTGATAGTCGCCGGTTATACCGATATAAACAACGAGAACGATGCTACTTATGAAATATAAATTCATTTTATAGAAAGCACACGGTGTTACGTTTAACAGTACTAGTCAGGTTCGGCTTAAGTGCAAAGTGCTGCTCGAAGATTCAAAGTTCGCACTTTTCCAACTACTGTGAGAGAATGCTGCGG